AACCTGCCCGACAAACAGCACCCGCACAGTTCCCCAAGCCTTACCTACCAGCCACCAAGTGTCATAGAAAAGTGTGCTGAAACAAAAAAAAACCTAACATTTGGAGCGGCATTTCTGTGCTGTGTATTATTCCGCTGTTTTTCATTTCCTACTCCGGCAAAACGCCGCAAAGCGCCCAAGAGCGCACTTCATTCACACTCGATGCGTGCTGCCATCGTCCGGGCGACAGTTGCCGTTACAGGTTGAGGATGAAACAAAAACAAAAAAAAAGTCCTGGAAATGGCATAAAAAAATGAGAAGAAAAACCGGTTGAAATGAAACGACTTCACTCCACTCCGGGCTGCCAAGCGCTGGGGCTAGTGCTGTTTTCATGGCAAAATATTTACGATTTGGCATGTAAAGTGGCGTTTCTCGTGCACTTTTCCGGCAAATTCACACCCACCCACACACACACACACACATACCTGGAGGGCTTCGGATTTAAAAGCCTTGCCTTTGTTTGCACTGCAATCCTTTTAAGGCTCCCGTCAAGTGTTTGATTTTCCGGCAGTGCCAAATACGGTACGCCTTGTGGCGGTCCGACCCCGAAACATTGATTAAAATAGTCGATTTTGTCCATTTGCCCGATTGAACAGATCAGAGCAATCATATTTATTTCCATGAAAAATGCACCAGCCTCGACAACGTCGGTGGTGACATCTTTTAGTGAATATTCCCTCGACAGGAGGTCCATCCTGCTCCTTGGGCTAGCCGGGGTGTGCCCCCCAGAGTCCGGCTCTGTGTCACATTTTTTTCATTTTCCTCATCCCGCCTGTCAATTTGTCTCTTTCTTTTTCCCGGCCACTTATTTCCTGGCGCTGCCGTCGAATGCATTTTTAATTGGCTTCAAATTTCCGGGCCGAGCCCCTGAGTAAGACGAGGCACAAAGCGAAGCGAAATGAAATTGAGTTTTATTATTAAATGGACGGGTGTAGTGAGCAATCAGGTCTGGAATTGATTGTAAAGTTAAGCACGACGGCGACGGAAATGAAAGAGTGAACTTGATATCCTATGTCGTCTGAAGAAATTGCCACGAGACGGAAAAGTGAAAAAATAGAAAAACCCTCTCCAAACATTGGCCATAATTTAGCCGCAATTCCCTGACCTGGTCAGACAAACTTTTCTGTGCTGGGAGAAATCTTTCAACTTTGTCTGGGGCACGAAGAGTGCTCCCTCCTCTGGCTGCTGCCCCTTGGTGGTGCCTCAAAATCGCACTTTGAACCACTTTGGCAGCGTTTATTGATTTCAATGATGACCCCAAATTGCAGCAATGAAAGTTGACCACGCAGCTGGGGCTGGTGAGCTGAGGCTCCGGTCATTTTCGAACCGGGAGGGGATTGAGTGCTAAAAGTAGAAAATGGAAAGTGGACTGAGGCGATGGAGTGGGGCAGGATAGGGGAAAGCCAAGGTGAAAACGAGCAGAAGGCCTTGACATTTTCTGTCCATTGCCGTATCATGAGAGCTTGGCAAAATATTTAATTAAAATGAAACGCAATCACACGCACACAGCGACACCCCAGCCCCAGTGCAGGGAAGAGCTCACTTAATCCATCTGCACTTCTGGGGAATACCTTAGCTGCTGCATTTTACGGCAATAAATTCAAAACCAACTGCGTGTGATGCTCAACAAACTACCAACTAAGGCACACAGATGCAAATGGGCATAGACAAGTGCAAACAACCATACACACACACCCTGAAGCACACCCATATATACACTCCATTACAATCGCAAAATCACACATACGCAGTGTGGCCCAGTGCAGTGCTGATCTCTCCTGTGGGCTCCTCTGCACATTTTTGTTACCAAGATTTTAACTGTCAGCAAGTTGGGCGACTTAATTTGAATTTACGGCACCGCCAGGGGCGCACCTCTCGCCTTCTCTATCCCTCACATTTGTCGTCTCTTTCGCTCCTTCCCTGTGGAGCGCCTGGCTATTATTTTGCACAAACAGTATTAAATAGTGGGTTTCGTTTCGGCCCTCCGACTCAACGCTCCCACCACTCTCGGCCTCCAGGTCGAGGTCTGTCCAAGTCAACCTGTGTTTCTGCCTCCTCCACGCAATGAGGGGGTTGAGTGGGGGGAGTGAGGGGTGACAATAATATTCAAATTCCACTCAGTTGCCGGTGCAGTTGCAGGGGCCGGTAGGCAGCGGGAAATGGCCGTTGGGCGTGGCAATGACACTTTTACACTCCATATATCTGCCTAGGAAGTCGCCACTCGACTGGTTACCCCTTCAACTACACTGCAACAAAATGTTTCCTTCTAGGCGATATAGATTTTGGAGTGGATGTAGTATAACTATTTGTTTCTCTCAGTGAACTTTTGCAAGACCCGCTTGCGTTTTCATATTTATGTGTCTCCTGATAGCGACGCTGCTGCAGTCAAAAGTTTTTCTTCGTTTGCACTGGCATCTGTGTGGGTGTCTTCTGTGTGTTTGTATTATTGTATTTGTGCATGTGGGTGGGGGTGGGGGTCTATCTATGTGAGAGTGTATGTTTATATGCTAATACTTTAGCGCACATGGCTGGGCCCTATTATCGCGACTGCCACTTGGGCGTCGAACTTCCGTTTTGCAAGCAGCTCCGCTTCTGTCTCTGCTCCGGCCCTTGGCTGGAGGATCTCGCCGGGAGCTAGGAGCTCTCAGCTCTCAGCCCTGAGCCCTAAGCTCGATGGCAGCCCAGAAGCATTTGCAATTTAGGTTTGCATTCGGGCTACAGTTTGTCCCGCTCTCCACTGGGACGTATGTTGTAAAATGAATTTTACTTCATTTTGATATGTTCTCCCTGCTGGCTTCAGTGCCGGGCACATAAATACATGCGGGATGTGTGGGGCGTTCGCTCTGTCGTTTGGTTTGTTTTTGTTTGCATTTGCCACTATCGCAATGATAATAAATTTTATTAATCTTGCCGTCGCCCACGAACACACACAAGTGAAATGGATGGAAGGCAAGGAAGTAGTGCCCATGCCCCTGATCAAGTGCCCAACTAGTCGCAGGCATTTGTAAAGGCGGTGGCAGTATAGTACATGGCTGGCAGCTTCAAGCCCCAAAGCTTCAGAGCTCATGGCGTCTTGCTACTTATTTCCATTTACATTTCGTGGCAGCTGCAGCCGGAAGACGCCGCATGCTGTTGCAACTGCAGCTGCGCAAGCGAATTTATTATGTAATTATTGTTGTGCATTCTAATTGCAGGGTGCATTTATTTTACTTTACACGCTGGGGGGTGCTTTTTGGTTGCCACTTAGTAAACTGAAAACTGATATAAATGGTCGTGCTTGGGCTTTATGTTGGCTTTGTTTGTATGTGTTTTTTATGCAACTTGTAGTAATACCTATTTCAATACATCCAATCCTTTTCATGTGTGGCATGTAAGCTCCATTCCTTTTCCCTTTGACATATGACCGAAAAAGATAAACCCAATCGCTTTTCAAGCTAATCAGTCTGTTTCAAAAGCAGAGCAGACTTTACATAGCAACGTCGGAAGGGAGTACATGTGGCTTTATACAACTATTGCTGAAGCGATCTCGACTGGCTAATTAAAAATTTATTTAATTCTTGGCCGCTCAAAGGCAGGTTCCAGCGAAAGTGCGTCCGCATCCTAGCGTACTGAGTTCTGGCCACAACCTGACATCCCGACCCCAAGGCCTCCCGGGACTGGAGGCGGCAGTGGCAGTAAATGCCAGGGCATCAAATTTGATGATGTCAACCAAGAGCCGGTGATGTCCTGCTCTGTCCGGTCGTGTAGCTCCGTTGATGTGGCTGTAGCTACGGGAAATGCATTCTAAAAACCAACAAATGCCGGAAATGCGCCGCTGCAGATGCCGCTGCCATTGCGATTAAACTTTCCGCATTAAATATTTCGCCATGGCCACGCCAGGCCAACCAAGTTTCGGAATTGGGACGCCAGGCGGATGTTGCGGCTGCCTTTTCGCCAAATCTAATTGCAAATTTCATGTACCGACAGCCCACGCCCCTGCCGCTGCCGCAACCACGCCCAGTCATCCGCCCCAGATCCACGCCCGTTCCGCTCGACAACTACATAAACATTGTGGCCACTGGCAACTGTCATTTTTTACTTGTTCGCGCTTCCCGTATGGCTGCCGCAGTAAATCATGAAATTTATTTAGCAACATGCGAGCACCGAGGAGAGCGCAGTAGCAAAAAATCAAAAAGGAAGAACTTGCAAAATAAATTGCACAAATGTTGTCCGCACTTCGAGTGGCAGTGTTGTCATGGCTTCCGTTTGACCAGCAACTCCCCCAGACTCTGTTCCAGTTTATACTCCCCCGGGGCGGAGTGTCATTAATTTTGATGTGTTTTTAATTCGGTTTTGTCGGGCTAACTCATTGACAAAGCCTCGAAGAACACACGGACCACTGCCTCGGAGAGTGCAGCATGGAAATGCTGTTTGGGATTTAATTAAAACTAATGAAAACTTTTGTCCCAGCTAGCACAGCCAAAACAGGCCATTCCCTACTTACCAATCCCTCCTAGTTCCCACTTTCCACTTGCCAGTTTTCCCTGAAGCCAGCCAGTTGAGCAGCAGTCAATCTTGCAATTTGTGCCCAACGACAAGTGACAAGAGGCGGTATGGTTTTTAAGGTCCTGCATCAGGACAACTGCCTGCCAAGCCAAGACCTTGCCTGACATTTCCCCAAATTCAACTCGACTTGAAGGGCAGGGAGCTGGCTCTTCTGCTAGCTTGGGCAAACTTCGGATCCAACCTTTGGGCAAAATGACAGAGAAAAGTTGAAAACACTTTTGGCCACAATTGGGCAAACGGAACAAAATGAGCTGCCTCCACGCACTCGAGGCCACCTCGGAAATGAGCAATGAAAGTGCGTGGCCGGACTGGAGACCATCATGTAATTAGACAAGTCCTGAAAATGCACCTATCCAGGAAGTGGCCTAACGTAGAAATTTGTGCAAGACGGCTCTCATAACGGAACGAAGAGGTAGTTGCCTGTTAAAATATATATTTGTTTTTCAACATTTCAATGCAATTTGAATCAAGTTTTTGAATTGAAGTAAAGTCTGCTCGACTACACCAATTTTAATCCCTCTTCTTACCGTGGCAGTATCTGGCTGGAGCGGGAACTTTTATATAGGTTCCTGGTCTCTTACGCATATAAGCGGATTTGATCCGGCAGGGTGGGGATTCTGGAGGACTTGAAGGAACAGCGTGGGAAAAGGGCAACACGCTGCATTCAAGTTTGGTGGTTTTGACGGACAACTGAGATGCCTGCGAGCGCAGGGGCAACTGAGATGATTCCAAACGTGTTCCGGAGGGGGAAAAAATATTAATGATGGGAGTCCGAGAGATAGGAAGCTGGCTGGATATTGGACGAGCCTGGGGCTGCACAACCGCCTTGCGGGAGGTGGGCTTGAGATCGGTAATGACCTGCATGGAGCACTTGGCCACCCCGCCTCGTGGCACTATTGTCACCACATAGGAATAGGACGAGCCCTCTTCAAGAGTGTGGGTCTCTTCCTGCTGCAGCTGCAGTTGCATAAGCAAGTCCCCGACTTGATTGATGATCTGCTGGGTACCCAGGGGCGAGGACATAGGGCTTTCCGAGGAGCTCAACGTGGAGCTGGAATTCGTGGAGCTGGGTGTATCGTTTAAAATGGGAGTTTTAGAGCTATTCAGCGTCTGGGTCGTCGTCAGGGAATCTTTGGTATAAACACCAATTACCGGATGGGTAATATTATGCCGCGGGACAGTACCGCCACTCTCGCGTTTGATGTCGAAGGTAGCCTGGCGGTGAATGCTGGGACGAACTTTGGGTTCCTCGGGCACTGCCTCTGGTACCATAATGGCGTCCTGTAACTCCTTCTCCTCCTGCTCCTCATTTAACTGCTTTCTTAGCTCCTCCAGTTGGACCCGTATCTGCTCCAGATTGATAAAAGTCTGCGTCAGCATGCGACTCTCTTCCACGGAACTTTCGGTAGCCGTGCTCTGGTTTAGGTTTTCAGTGCTTATGGATTCTGTGGTTATGAGAGCATTCTTCTCTTTTCTCGATAGGGATGTTAGGCAGAGACTCTCCAGATCCTCCTGGAAGCGTTTCTTATCTTCTGCAGCCTTCAGATCGGCTGCTTCTTTTGATCCTAGGTTGATGGGTAGGTCCAGTTCTGGCGGTGGCGATTCATCCTCCAAGAGCGGCAAGTGGTTGTCCTCTAAATCCGCCTCTACCATATCCATCCTTCTCTTTTCCAAGAGGTTCAGAACTGCATCCAGATCGCTGGGAGTGTGGACGACCGCACTATCCACCAAAATGAAAGGAACACCCTGATCGTCGGACCCTGAGGACAAGTCCTCAATGCCAGCCAAGCTAGTTTCGCCTTGGAAAACCCCCGAGGATTCCGGTGGATTTGAGTCCGATGCTGAAGAAGGGGAAGCCCCACTTATTTTCTTCTTCCGCATCATGATGGCTGTGGATCAACGGGAAAGGTAACTGATACAGTGGAGTTGCCATTACAGATTTTATCCAACAAAAACAACAAACTATGCAGCAAGGCAAAGCCATAAGCAAGACCTGAAACTTTCAATTCTTAGGTCATGAGTCATATTAATAAAAAAAAATTATTTATAAATATGTATCATAGCTTTGAGTCAAACTATTGACAAGAGGCCAGACCTGGGACAAACAAAAAGAAACTCACCTGGACGCCAAGAAGTTGAGGTTGCGGCTCCCACGATTACGCTTCGCCGGTAGCCCCGGCAGCAAACAAAAATTTAAATCCCTCAAAAGTACTCGGCGGGCTGAAACGAAATTGAAAAGGATAAAAGTTCGGCGTGGCCGGGAATCAACACGGTTCAACTATCCCCCAGTTCTCGGCCCACAGACCTCCTTGATCCAGCTGCTTCTCCTGGGCACTTGTGGCTGCCCTGGGCTCGGGGTTGTTGGAACACAATCCGTAAACCAAAACTTTATTTTGTGCTGATAAAAACTTAAATGTAGCTGTTGTTGCCCCTGCCTCTGCCGCTTCCACGCAATCGTAAATGTTTGATATCCCCAAAGGTTAACAATTTCCGTTGCCGCTTGGCTTTACTTTGCTTTGGCAAGTTAGTTCTGTTTCTGCTTCTGCTGCTTCTCGTTTTCTTTATTTTGTTTGGTAAGAATTTTGCGGCTGGCCAAATGAAACCGCAGGGCTGGTAAGTGCCTCACCCACACACACGAACCTGCACGCACACTCCCGCACACACACACATTAGCACAGAGACAGGAGTAGGTGCTCGGTCTTCGGGCTGTCTGTCCAACTGCTGTGAATGGCTTTCGACCTGGGCTGACTCTGGGATTGTGGAATTGTGGCAAGGGCTGCTGGCAAGCGGTGCTGGCTAGTACCGATGCCGGTGCTAGTTGGGGAAAGGCGTACTCAGTTCAATTTTGACATCGAGAGAAGGCAAATAAAAAAGATAGGCAATGGTAACAGCCGGAAGCTAAGATTCCAAAATTTTTGTGTTCGAAAACTTAATAAAATGCTAATGACCAGACCTGGCAAGCCAGGCAGTGTACTGAGCCAGTTAGATCTTTTTCAAAGATGTCTTGTTTTGATTTGTATTTCTCTGACTTTTGTTTCATCTATAAAATATCTCCATAATGCCAAATTTTGCTTTATCTTCTTAGCCCTTATTAAAGGTATATGCACGGCTTTCTTACATCAAAAGACACATGTATAAATTATTTAATTATTAATGACATCTTATTGAATCTTTTATCAAAATATATTAACTACATTACTGTTTATAAGTCTCGACACACATGAGCTCTTCATCATGGCACATTTATTAGATTGATAATGACATGAGATATTAAACATTAATTTAATAATGCACTTACACCACATCTTTCTTCGTATGCCAAGCAAGGATACAATGTACCCTTTTGACTGTTTATATGAACAACCAAACTTGGAAAGAACAACTTGGCTTTCTCTTTGGCTTTCGCTTCTCTTAACTTTACGATATTCGAGTGGTCTAAAAGCTCGCTTCATGGCTGAGAGCGTGTGGCTACGAGGCCAGGACGAAGGACTCACGATTCCGTGACGAATCACTCACGACGCCAGGCCGTCGAGAAGAGGGCATAAACAAATCCAGTTGCCCCTGTCCGTTGGCATTCAGTTGAAATCGTTTCGAGCTGGCGAAAGGACGTGCCCAGCGGTCGTGTGGCGAACAAATATCCCCCGCAGTCGAGTGACATCCCGAAGTCTTAAGTTCGTGTGTCGAGGTTTGGCCAAGACCACAGCGAAGGCGCGAAAACACATTAGTGTCGAGTGAATTTTTCCCTTGTTTTTTCGCCGTCTTTTACCCGCAACCGTGTGCGGGCAATTAAAGTTCCGGGTGCCCCGCTGACTGATGGTCGCGCAAATTGCATGTCGGAGTGCCAGGAGTGCATGTCGCAGTGTGTGACACCGAAAGCCAAATGCTCGTGAGCCACACCGGGCTGAAAAGGACTGAAAAAGTGTTGGCCAGGAAGCTCCGGCTCTGGCTCCAGCTCGACTAAGTGGAATTATCAGCCCGCAAGACAAACAACACGCAAGCCGAGTCAAATGAAAACCCCATCAAAGGCAAGTGCAAATACGAGGAGCTATGGCAAAAAATTTAATTAGAACTGAAATGGCAAAATGCGGAGCATAAAATAATTTCAAACGGATGTCGGGTCATCCCGGGAACATATGGAGCCTGGGCAATGGCATTCGCTTGACAAAAACAAGACCCCAACCACAAACCGAAAGGAATTCGCATACATATGATATTTATGAGAGTCTCCCACACCCACTCTCATGTGTTTGTGTTTCCTGGCTAGGAAGGAAATTTATTTATTTGTTTTCTTTACTTATACAGCAGAAACAGGAAAAAGTACAACTACCGGAGTGGGAAAAACTGTAATGAAAACAAATGTCAAGCCGGGCTGTGAGGTTTCACTTTAAATTTGTAAAATATTTCCGTAAGCTCGCAAGGATATTACCTTTTAGGGAATCATGTGAATTTAAACGAATGCAATTAGCCAGAGCATTGGCACCCAGCACCCAGCTTCAAATATAATTTGACCGCAATGCCCCATGGCTAGTGCTTCGGAGGTGGGCACAAACAATGCATATTCTAATATGCTAAATGGTCTGCCATTGTATTCGCGCCACCTCCTCACAGGTGACCTCCTGTCTGCCTGGTAACCCCCTGACAGGCCAAAACCGCAGCTGAAATTATTGCTCGACTAGACAAACAAAGCACGGCAGTTAGGAAAACAATGGCTCAGCGTGGTTCAGTCCTGTTTGGTTCAGTTGAGCCCGCCGACTCAGGGTAGTTCGGAATCGTCATAATTTCAATTAAAATTCAATTGAAATTATATGCAAAAACAAACAATGGTGTAAATTGTGGGGCTTGTCGGCGCACCCGTAAAAGTCAATTTAATTATGAATTCAGCGATATTTATCAATCTGGGCACTTGGGCCGCCCACTTCCACACCCACACACACTGTTCGAATGTATTTTACCCTTTCGCTCGCTTTCCTTTCGCCCTTCGGCGCCGGCCCCTCTTTTTGTATTGATTGGCAATGGAAGGGTAATTGACATTTCAATAATTCCATAAATAGTTAAGTAACTGCCCTCACCTAGCCTGCCCCCATTTTCGCTATTCCCATTCTATTTTTTCGTTTCTCAGTTTCCCGATTTTTTGTTTTTTTTAGTTGCTTTCAATTTAGTTCACGCCACTTGAGCGAACTTAAATATTTCTTCACACTTTGCCTTGTCGCCATCGCCTTTTAACCGAAGTTTTCCAATTATATGTCGCCTTTTTTTTCCCCGAACAGTTTTCCCGGACGCGCTTCATATTTGCTTTTCCTCCGCCGCCTTCCGCCGCCCCGCTGTTCGCTGTTCGCTTTCTCCGTGTGGCTGGAGAAAGTTTTTATCGTCGTGCGGAAAAAATTATGCTGGCATTGCCTTCTCTCATATGATTGGCATCGCGCCCCGAAACTTTTCCCCTCAGGAAAAACGGTTATCATAGGCAAAATCGCAGCGAAACTGGCGTAGATTTTTTCAGAAATGGAAATTTCAACGCAAACTAGTGTTTGCACGATGGCTTGGAAAAATTTCCCTATCGGTTCGGAATTAAATGGAAATCAATTCGAATACCGGCCAAGCTAAATGTCAGGTTTAGCTTTTATGCTTCTTTTTTGGTTCTATTTGCATTTTCTGCCAAAGCCGAGCTGTATCTTCATCAGTATCCATGGCTGTGTACAAGAGTCTGTGTTTACTACCATTCCCATGTTTCAAGATACGGCATACACGTTATTTCACTTTAGTACATTAGGGCAGACTTCCTCCGGCCGGTGCGCTTAATTTCCGGCGCAGTCAACAATGCGGATGGGGAGTCTCGGGTGCCTGGTGGGAGTCCGGTGGGTATCGTCTGGGATTAGGGATTGGTCTGTTCCTCTTTTCCCTACACACCGCTTCAGTTTCTTGTCATGTCTTCAAAGGAAGTTGCTACGAACGCCAAGGCAGTCGAAGCGGAACCACAATTATATAAAACATGAAAGGTAGTCCATTTAAATTTAAATTAAGCTGACTTCAGAAAACTATTCCACGCTCTGCCTTACCACAATGGGCTAAGAACTGACCCTTTTCACCTTTCGCTTCCCAATTAAGGAGCTTAAGTGGATTTCTCATAATTAGCTTATAAATACACAGCCCGGCTTTGGTGCCCTTTTTGGGGCCTTCAAATATTTATGCCCTTCAATTTAATTTATTAAAATGCAATTTAATTATTTTAATATTTATACCACCCCCTGGAGGCTATCCAATCAATTTTGAGTTCATTCGCGTCACATGTAAAATTTATTTTTCACTCTACCCAGACATCTGAATTGAAATGTGTGTGTTTCTTCGGTGTGCCTACGTGGGCGTATCACTCATACGCACCGGTGCCCGGAGTCTGCGGGTGGCACGCTTGCAGCCAACAAATCTTGTGTATAGCATTTAATTTTTGACTTCACTCGCGGCTCACGCGCCAACTTTTGCGGTGAGTGACTCAGAAATGGGGCAAGGGGCACAACAGCCGCCTCACAAAAGCAATGGGGGCGAAGCGTAAGTCTCGCCATGTTGCGGTTTCCAGCCTAAGGTTGTGGGCATTTGTAGATGTAGCCACAATGTTTCGAAGTAATGTTAGTTTCCTTGGAATGTGTGCACGGAGAGATTTAGACATCACTGCGTTGATACATTAAATTGGCTAAAATATATAAAATATTACCTAAAGTACATTGTAACTATCCCACATACATACACATACACGATTCAAAAATTCTTCAATAATTTGTTTGCATCTATACATACATACTTCTTCTCTGTGTATAATAGTAATTTCAATGGAGTATATGGAACTATTTATAGACTCAGAACCCACAGAGGTAGGCAACGCTTGGGGAATCCACGAAACCCCCGAGGAATTCCATTGAATCGAAATTCTGTTTGTCTGATATTCCTTGAATATTCGGCTTTCAATTTCCATTAGTCAGTCATATTCCACTCTGTAAATTGCCTTTCACTCCGCTTTTGTGAAATATTAAGTACTTTTTCATTTCCTTTTCCGACGCGAATCCCTTCGACTTCCTTGCTCCGATTTCTGTTTTTGGCGCGACGAGAAACAAAAACAAAATTTGTTTGCCATAAAAAATTGTCGCAAGTTACGCGGCTGGGTGACAAAATGTGGATGCCTGTGGAAGGTTGTTTTTTTACTTTTTCCATTTTTTTCCGTGGGCCCCTTCTCAGCCACATGCTACTTCCCTTACCCACACAATTGTGGCATGCCGTGGATTTCCACTTATTTTCCATGCCGAACAGTTTTGGGTTTCGCTAGCTGGCTGGATGTTGGCAGTCCCTGTTTTTGTTTTGCCTGCTTTTTCTCGACGGTTTTCTTTTACTGTGCTCATTTATTTTTAATGTTTCTTGCACCTGAAACGACACACATTGAGCGGGCCAAAAGCAGGTCTGGCATTAAAAATTTAAGTTTTATGTCAATGAATGTCCTGCCCTGGTGGCTCCTCCTTTGTTCGTCGCTTCGACTTCTTTTGTGGGCATTTTTCACGGTGTTTTCGTTTCGATGTTGATTTAATTTGGGCCACACAACCTGCTGACTACAAAGAGTCGGAGACAGACTCGGATACTCGCAGCCGCAGTCGAAATTAACATGGCACACAGGAAGTAGGTAAACAGTTCCCCAAAAATTAATGGCTCCCCATCAAACGTGTCTTCGTGCGGGCTTAGGAAAATGATAATTTATTTATAATAGTGGGCCGGGGCTGGGAAACCGTAAAAAAGAGGGAACCATAAACACTTTTTAGTTGACTCCAACGCCCCCGCACGACCAGGGCTACCATTCCATCCGTATTATTATTTTTTTCAGTATTTTGTATTCTCTCATAAACTCATTTTATCCCCAGCACGTGATATTTGTCCTCACGCATGTGAACATTCATACGTTTGCATGGGAAACTTTATTAGTTGAGCACTCAATGAAAAGGCCATCAAAGAAAACACTCGC